ATTTCCTGCTTTGTCGAATTTGCTTCTTCCCCGTCCGTTCTCTCGCACATCGCCAAAGGACCCGCCGCCGGTTCCTGACGGAGTCCTTCGGCGATCCTTCCGCGGGCTCGAGTGGTCCTGCAGCAATCTGAAAGCGCCTCGAGATCACTCGAGAAAATAATCGAATTCCCTACATGAAGGTCCTGCACGCTCGATATTCGCGAGGAAAATTATATATATCGGGTGTGTCATCTATTAAGAAAAAAAAAATTGATGATCTAAATTGATCTTTGACATCCAGCTATTTTAATATCTAAAATTTAATATTTGTTTTCAGCAATTTCAATGCAACGGGCGCATGTATTGGAAATTTTTTCCGCACATACATCGAAACAGACATCGTGTGTTCTGTATTATTTTTTTCAGATTTACGTGTACCTTTCAAATATTCATATTATTTTTCGTTTCAAATGCTGTCAAAAAATATTAGCTTTTTAAATTATCGAATGTTTTTGCAAGTTTTCCGAGCATAAATACATATTACATGAGGAGTATTTAAAAAAAATATTCAATATGCGGTGCCAATGTTTTCAAAAATTTTATCTGACATAATTCTGGAAATTTCGGATATTTCAAATACGCGCATGAGCGCAAAAATATATATATATATTTTTTCGATATTGTTGTCGAATTACCTGGTTTCGCGGAATAAAGTAAACGTATCGGTGCGCGAAAGACGTAATTCCGTGATTTACGCGAGCCTTTCACGGCTATGACCAAATTTGTTTCTAAAGTCCACAGAGCTCGCGGCGAATGAGGGAACGCGTTTCGTGGAAGGGTCACCCTGTTAATCCTCCGGAGACTTAATTCCGGACCTTCGTAAATCTCGGTTAAGGTCTGTTTGATGGCAGCGGATAGCATAGCTCGCCCGGATTTAATTGAGATACGTAGTCGCTCTTAACACGCCTTCCTGACTCCCGCGCACTCGCTCTTAAGTTTCTAAGTTTCGGGAGCGCGCGCGCGCGTCGCTCGCGATAACTTACGTCGATAGGTACTTGAATGTTCTTCGAGTGCTGTGAGCAACGTGATCGATTTACCATTCGCGTTCGAATGGCTTCGGCGCGAAATGAAGACGATACAGCGCGCTCTTTAAACAACATCGTACAAGATACTTTGTAGAAAAGTTTCAGCTTGCATGTGCACAAATAATGCAAATAAAAATAACGGAAGCAGCAAGAAAAAAAAGATGGATATTGTGAAACGTAACCGAGCTGTTACGCGATATTACGCGGGGAAAATAATAACATTTACCGTAGATATTAAAAAAGTGACGAGTTAACTATCGCAGCATCTGACGCAGTCGTGTAATTTCAGCGCAGAATAAGCGGGAAAACCTCGAAGATCTCTCGTTCGTATCTCGGACGCGTCGTAGCGTGTGAGAGGAACGTTTTAGGAAGATGGAAGGACTCCGCGCCGCAGAGGAAAGATGCGAGTTGCGCCCGAGAAGTTGCAGCGCCGTGGGCTGCTACGATTTATTTAACTTTTTCTTTCCGCTGCTTCCTGCGCACGTCTCATCGTGCTCGAGCAAACTCTTTCTCGTCTTGCTCATCGTGGTTCGTGCTCGCGGTGCTCCGCCTCGGCTATCACGTAAAGTTGATCTGCTTGGTTTACGTTATCCAGCAAAGGCACGAAGCCTATTTCCTCCTTTTGTGAAACGAGGAAATGAGCGAGGTAGAAAGCAAGAAAATAAACGCCCGGGCTTATTAGAGCCGGTAACGTATTTGTCAAATTGAAAGACTGCTCTCGCAACTTTTGCAGAAATAAGTAAGATAATTAAAGACCGATATGAGAGTAGCGCGGCGGATATTCAAGCGGAAATGATTTTCGCGTTATAATTAAAAAGTATGGGGATTTAAAGGTAAAAATATACAACAAAATCGTGTTCTGGTGCACCGCGTTGACAGAATTGTAATTGGAAGCTCGACACACGGAGATTAACAGAGTATTTTATGATGGAAATTAGAATTTCTACATAACAAGATGATGTTTCTTGGAGCGGCGACGATGCGCCCGCAGGCACGTTGACCGTAATTCGAAATGCAACATCAATGGATCGTGAATTTAATTCAACGTAAAAGGGAGGTTTCCAACTTTTCAGTTTCACCCCTGATAAGAAAGAGGCAAATAAGAAACACGCGATGACTGTGCACTACGTCGGCGATGTCTTAATCTTCACGGCGGATCTTCTTACGCCGCGGGCCGAGTGTATTTTTAATGCACTGTCATTTCCATCGCGGCTACGACTGCTTAACGAACATTTTAGAGAGCACGTCATAGCGGGTTCTTTTTCTTTATTTCCGCGACCGACGTTGACGTTACTTATTCGAATGAGACTCCAGTGTGCGACGGAACGACGCCGGCTTTCAAATAAAGAGAGGAAAAGCGCGCTCTTTAATCTCAAAGATTATAATTTTGGCTTAATCACGGAAAGATAACACTTGGTCATTTTGGAGAAATTATTATTATCGAGTGAAAAGGGGCAAGAATAATATCGAGTTTCGAATTGCGCAAGTAAAATTAATTAACAGTTAATAAAGTGAAATTAAGTGAAATTCCTATTAAATTGAAACGAAAGAAACAATTAGGAATTTGACAGAGCGTACAAAAAAATATTCTGCGATATTCTGTGTGGAAGAAACAATTATTGCGAGTGTGAGAGGAAAATAATGCGACAATGGCGATTCTGCTCGTTTATGGACGCACGTGAGAAGATAAGTTGCCGAAGAACAAAGTGCTGTTTTAGATTTCAGACGAGCAGCGCCGATGAGGGAATGCATTTAGGGATTATACGACGCTATAATCTCAGGGACGAGTTAAGAGCTGATGGAGTTTACTTAATTTTATCATGACGCTCCGAAAAGATGCGTCCCTTTCCACGGCGTATCCTAGTCGAGGCTGACGTGCTCGGTTCTTGAAAGCTTTTGAGCTCTTGCGTTAAAGTTCCTCCGCGTCTAGGCCACGTTATTTACCTTTATAAGAGACGACAAGGCGCCGCCCGAGTTCGAGCCGAGTCTTTTCTTCTCGCAACGTACGAAAGGATAGAGAGAAAAGAAATATCAGAAAGCGAAGTATACGGCGGAAAAATGTAAACGCGCGACACGGAGAGGAAAGTCTCGACGAGCTCGTCGTTTCACGCTTTCCCGACGAAGAAGACTGCCAACTGTGTTTGACTAATTCGCAGAGATTTCTTATGAATTTATTCGTGCAGCCTGAATTATTCTAAGATCTTTCGATATTGGAATTTTAATGATTGCGTGCGTTTTTATTTGTTATTTCGATATTGAGAAAAACCTGATGACAGGTCGTTTTGTATATTTTGTAAATTCAATATATGTCTTTTCGCACGAGAAACCGGCTCTTTTCACTCCTTCACTTGTTAATTTGAATCATTGGAGTCTTTGCAATTTGTAATTTCTTATAAATTTTAATGGCGTTGGAATACAATTTGCAAAATCCGAGTGATGATATTTAAAAAAATAACCGACCGACTTTAGAGAACAAAATAAATTGAAAAAATCCAAAATATATTAATCTTCAAGTTAAGAGAATCCGCGGGCTTCGGCTTTTCATTCTCGAAGATAATATATTTTAAATTTCATGAGCCTTTAAATATACACATAATTTAAAAAATCCATTATTTTAAGCGCGACGTAAAATGTTATAATTTAAGCGAAGTTTTAAACATATCACATTTTGTTTGCATTTTAAAAGGGCGACAAGTTTGTAAATTTGCAAAAGTTGTATAATACAAGAATTAAATAGACGCCCGAAACAAGAATGTCACGGTGCGTAAGAGATGCGTGGCGATACGAGAAGGAAATGGAATGAAATTGCGATAGCGACTGTACTTGCCGGAAAATTCGTGGTTTGCAGCCGACGACTCGCCCATCAAAGTGAGATCTCTTTGAGCACTTTCCACGGCTCGTCGATATTCCCGCTTGTTCGATAGCGGCGCGATACGTATAAACAATGACTGGATCCAGGAATTCTCGATAGATTCGGATCTCGAGCACGTGGTTTGAGTGGAAATGCTCCAATTGACAAAATGGATTGTCGATACTATAATGGCGGTCGTGCGAGCTTTGTAGATTGAATATATTTATTTGGTATCGAATATAAAAGCATAGCCGTCAAATAAAACGCGAAGAGAATCGCGTATCGCTTTTTTTTTCTTCTTCTTTTTTTTTAACATGAGTTAAACAAAATAAAATTAAAATTAAATTAAAATATTATGTACTGACGTTAGTTATATCATATATATTGTTTATCGCGTACTCTGGAAAATTACAGCGCGAGAGACGCGCGCTTCAAATCTGTCATACAATATACTGGGGAAATTTATTTTTAATCAAAAATGAGATCAATATATTTTGCATTTCATCGATGCAATTCAATTATCCTCGATAGAAAGCGCGAAAAATAATTAACTTAATAAATAAATGGAATGGAATTATTATTTGCAGGTGTCGAGACGCCTCCCAGCAACGACTCGGTGCGCTTGGAGCCCGGCCCCCTCGTGAACGGCGCCGGTGCGCTTTACGTCGCAGCTACCTGTGCGTGCGCCTTAATCCTGGTCGTCGGCAGCGTCGCCAGTGCGTTATACATTCGTAACAGCAAGGCTCGCGTTCAAGAATCGCAGTGAGTAAAATTTTAATTGGAATTAATCAAGCCTCGCCGTAGCTAAAGCCCGGCGTTTAATAATGGAGCGTTTAAAATGTTAAAGAGATGAAAAAGATTGGAAAAGTTTGAAGAATAAGATCCGTAAAAAATGAATAAGTGTTTCGGACGGAGAGGAGAAGGCTTATCAAATTTATCCTCTCCCGAAAATTCCCCGTCTTGTAGCTTTAATCTCGTTAGAGTTGTACAACGCGGCGCACGCAATATCGGTGCAGCGCCGATAACGAGTGGCGCGGGGCGATAATAATTTCGCAAAAACACGTCACCGACAGAACCGGTAGATTTCCGACGTGACGCGAGAGAATAACGCGCGCTCGCCGCCGCGCCTGCTTCTCATTTTACCACTTATTAAATTCGCGTTTGAAAGGATCGCACTTCTCGTCCCTCTCGCGGAGAGTAAATCGACGCTGGGGGGGTGAGATTTCCATTACGTAAGATGCCGTCTGTAAATGCGCCCTTTTCACCGAATCTCCGAGCGCGCGCTCTCACTTTCCGCGCGCCGCTCGGATGAAAAGTAACGCGGACGCGCGTGTTCCGCGAATTTTCTGCCGAGCGCAAGACGCCGGGC